ACCTATCCACGCGACACGGAACCTACTACCACAAGCGCACACCGAACCTACTCAGCGCAAACGAACAAGCCGCCACGAGACACAAGATAAAAAAAAAAAAATAAAAAGAGAGCGAACTGGTCCAGCGCACACACGAAACCATCTCCAGAACGCACACGAACCTACTCCACGCACACGAAACAAGAGAACCCTACCCAACGCAAACGCGAAACTGACTAACAACGACAAAACACAGAACCATCGTCCACGCACACACGAAGCGCGGGAGCTAACCAACGCACACGGACATGAGCCTCCACCGCACACACGAACCTAGACAACCGCAGAGCGGAACCATACTCCACCCACGACTATTCAACACGCACACAAGCTACGAGCCAAATACCCCTTTTCCTGGGAAATTCACCAACGTTGTAGCGATTCTTCTCTCCGTTTCGGGCCATTTCAGTCCAATTTCAGCCGTCCAATTTCCAGGCCAATTTCGTCTCTCAACGGCAATTTCAGAGTCCCGGAGATTATGATTCTTGGCGGCCATGTCTCGGTTGGCAAATCCTTGTGTAGCGCCAAAGTAAGCTGGATCTGGACGCTAGAAAGATGCTATGATGGGAAATAAAATGAATATGAATAGGCAGAGAAACATGAGTAAATATATAGATGAATAAATGAATTAATTAATATGCTGCGTTATGATATCGATTTTACAAAAGACGCGAAAATAGTATTGATCGTGTTATGGATGGCAAATCATTCTACCGTGTGGATGCTGTGGTAGAAAAGTCCACAGTGAACAAACGAGATTTATTGAAAAGTGAGACGATAGTTTTGAAAATCCTTCTGAATTTCATCTTTATGTCTGGAGTGGAAAAGGAGAGGAAGGAGTATAGGAGAAGGGAGAGGAAACATGGTAAACGCAGGGCAGGTGAGGACAGGTGAACGGAAGCGAAGGGAGGTCAGGTCAGGTCGAAGGGTCAGGCGGTCTATGTGAAAGATGGCTGGCATAAGAGTGTAGGCAGAGGACAAAGCGAAGAGACGGTCGGCAGGAGAAAATCCGCTGTTTAAATTGAAATTAGGCAACTGCCACACCAAGGAGGACATCAGCGGAAGGAAAGACGATTCGCGCAGCTGACCAATCCAGCTGATGGTCTGTATCCAGCTGATGGTAGAAGAAAGCGGTGGTGCTGCGTCCCCTTGGTGCAGCCTGTAAACGTTTAGACATACGTTCAGTGAGACTTACTAATACTTAAAGAAATTGTGGAGTCCAGTCTCCGAAGCGCAAAATCTTAAGAAATAACACCGCAAAAAATCAACTGATATCCCAAAATAAGGCGTATTTTCGAAACTGAATGTCCTGATATTCCGTTAAGACTCCCTACAATCGTGAAGAATCTAGCATAAGAATATTGTGGCAAGAACAGAGTTGCGCGACACGATTTCTTTAAGCACACGACTGTAATTATCAAAGGAGGTGAGAGAAATGGCACAGGTACCCACCCCCCCCGGTAGAGCAGCGGTTCCCAGCCTTTTTTACTCCCGCAGCCCTAAGAAAAAAATTACTGTGTCCTCGCAACCACTTTAAATTTGTAGATTATGTAAGGATAAAGGAGGTGAATTTATACGAAATTTGATCGAGAAAAGAATATATTTTTTCTCATTTTCTATGTTAACAAAAATCATATGGACAAGAAAACATGTCCGGATTATTTGAATAAACCCTATAAAATAAAATCATTGCTTGAAATATCTACATATGAAAATCAAAAAACAACTTTAAAACGTTTATATAAAGGAATTTTCAATTTAATGGCTCTTTTCTCCCTGTTTCTTGGTAATGAGTAATAAAAAAAATTAATTACTCGTCTTCCAGATGGACACTTCTCGCACCTCTTGAAATGCTATCCCACACCCCAGCTTGGGAAACCCTGAGGTAGAGGGAGAAGTGACGTGAACTAGATTACGGTGCAGAGAGATAGACCTGCAATTGCGCGGCTGAAAGAGGCAATGGAGAGAGACTCTGCAGCGGATCTCAGAGCAGGACAAGCGGGGAAGAGGCAAGGGAGGAGCTGGAGCTTCTCTCGAGGAGGAGTCGCGGTGGAAGGCACGCCGCGTCCTGAGAACACGACGAGGGTAGTCCGGCTTGGAGAGAGAATAATGGAGGAAACCGATCTCTCCATTCATGCGATGCGGAGGGCGCGGAGGAACTGCGATGTGGCAGCACCTCTCTTCACTTGGAGAGGATGGCAGGAGACGTGTATATGCATAGGATTCCTGTACATAGGGATATGCATACCACTGTGCATAGGATTCCTGTACATAGGGATATGCATAACACTGTGGCGCCACCTATAGGGTATGGCATAGGATTCCACATAGGGATATGCATATGGCATAGGATTCCTGTACATAGGGATATGCATACTGTAATAGGGTATATATGCAATACTGTGCATAGGATTCCTGTACATAGGGATATGCATACCACTGTGCATAGGATTCCTGTACATAGGGATATGCATACCACTGTGCATAGGATTCCTGTACATAGGGATCATTGATAGGATGGCAGGTAGAGTGGTGGTCAGCTGAGTGGTGAACCAGGGTAATGACAAAGAAATGAGAAATAAACATAGACTGGACATGTTTAGATTAAATGAAAATCATTATTATAATTACATGAAACCTTTTGATCTTGATATTCTGTAGGTCGATGGTGAAATAAAAAAAAAATATACTAAATATTTAGATTTAGAAAGCCATATACTCTTTATTCTTTAACCATATCAAAATTCAGTATAATAATCAACAAAAATGTTTCCTAATCGATTGATGTATCGCAATAATCGACTGAAATGTTTTAATCTTAAACATATGATTATATATCAAAACATTCAATCGTAATATATGTATATAATATAGAAAATGCAGCATTATAATCACATGAAATCATATAAATAAACGGATTAATTTCTTAATTTCCATCATTGGCAACTCCTATTTTCCGCCATGCAATCTATATCATGCAATCGCTGTGCATCCTGTCCCGCTTGCAAGTCCATCACTCAGTGGGAGCGAGATAGATAAATAGACAGATAGATAGATAGAAACAAGGTCTATAAAGGTCCTTTTATAGACCTTGGGGTTAACGGGCCTCGCAATTGAGGGTTCACGCATTGGCAACACTGAGGGGTCACTTGTTGTTGTTATTGTTGTTGTTAATGGAGGGAAAGAATTGAATATTTGTTGTTGTTGTTGATTGAATTGTTGTTGGTGGTGGTGATAATGATGAATTTTGTCATGTATTGTTGTTATTGCTGTTGTCGTTTTGTTGTTGTGTTTATTTGTTGTTATTGTTGTTGTTAATGTTGATGTTGTTTAATTGTTGTTGTTATAATGTTGTTATGTGTTGTTTATGTTGTTGTTATTGTTTGTTGTTATTTGGTTGTTATTGTTGTTGTTATCAATGTTGCTGATGGTCTTGCTGCCGCTGCTGCTGCTGTTCTGATGATGATGATAATTTTGTTGTGATTTTGTCGTCATCGTCATCATTGTTGCTCTTGTTATTGTTATTGATGCCTTTATTGATGTTGCTGCTGTTTATGATAATGTTGATAAATTTGCTGTAGTTGTTGTTGTTGTTGTTGTTGTTGTTGTTGTTGTTGTTGTTGTTGTTTGTTGTTGTTGTTGTTGTTGCTAGCGAAGATTGGTCAGACAAAAAGGTCAACACAGCGTAAAACCCAAGACTTATCTGACACAATTTGTCTCCATTTTTTTTATTTATTTATCTATTTTAGTTTATCTTTCCTTAGATTAGATTCACTTTCGGGATTATGTTTCGTCTTCATCGGAGAAATAAAGTGATCGGAGGAAGGGGGAGGGAGGGAGGGAGAGCAAGAATGGGAGGGAGAGGGAGGGAAGAGAAAGGAAGGAGGGAGGGAGGGAAGGAGAGGAAGGAGAGAGAGAGAGAGAGAGAGAGAGAGAGAGAGATAGAGAGAGAGAGAGAGAGAGAGAGAGAGAGAGAGAGAGAGAGAGAGAGAGAGAGAGAGAGAGAGAGAGCCATTGTTCTGGACATTCTGGTTATTTCGGGAAATTTTGGAGCATGGTTATCTCCAAACAAAACTAAAGCATAAAAAAAAACATAGATAAAAACGACAAAACTCGAATGATAATTTACTCACACTGACCGAAAACTTACGATAAAAGAAGAACTTCACAAGGAGTTACCAATGCTAGTGAAAGTTGCATTAGAATTCCTCGCCTTTCGTCATAATTGAACGTCTATTTCCATGGCGACCTATACCTTATTCCAGAATCCCGTGGCTATCCCTGTCCACTGCCCGCTGTCACTTACATTTGTTAAAAGCACGACAGCTCTCTGCCGCTGTCAACGTGTCAACAGAGCGCTCTCACTTTTCACTTCTTGGTAGCGAAGTGCATTTCCATAAGTCATGTCACTATCTCGCGAGTGGAATTCCCTCCTGAAGGTGAGAAATTCGATCTAATCAGGAGAAAAAAAGTCTTAGAACTACATCAAGTCTTCAAAGGGGACTTTTTTTTTAAACAAAGGGAAAAAAAAAGGTATGGATGAGAATTGAATATAAATACAGCTCTTGTATTGTGAAGAAAGAAAGAAAGAAGTAAAGAGTCCTTCATTAAAACACTTTTTTTTACTCAATGAGATATGACTCTCATTGTTGATAAGCAACCAGTTTTTTTGTTGTTTTTTTGTTGTTGTTTTTTATCTGAATGTCGTATTTATCAAACCTCGAAGACAACACAGGCGCGCTGTTTCCAAAAGTTCCAATCTGGTAATTTTAACACGAAAAACCAACAAGAAAGAATTAAAAGTATATCTATTCTCTTTATTCACATCATTTTTCCCTGTCATCATCAGAATAACCAAAACTAACACATCACGTCCTTAGAGATCATTAAATCTCGGTAATTAACGAATCGAAAACATGGGGTCGGCGTGAGGTTATATATTTGTGGTCACCGACGCGTCTCTTCGTTCACATCCCTCGAGGCGTTCGTGGAGGGAAGGACGCTTACACGAACGCTCTCCGGATTCACGGATTTTGGTTGAGGGAGAGCTAAAGGGTGAAAAATATAGGTATTTTAAGTATATACCATTTTCATTTTGTGAGGTGAGTCTGTTGATATATTGTTATTGTCATCAGTATCATTATTACTCTCAATATTCTTCTTTTTCTTTTTCTTTTTTTCTTCTTTTTCTTCTACTTCGTCTCCTCATTCTTCTTCTTCTTCACCTTTTGACATTTGTAAATTAAGGATTCACGACTGTTAAAATGAACGCGCAGATCTGAGGTATTTTAGACCATGGTAAAATATATATATTATTATTTTCCTGCTTAAATGAGGTAATGATTATAAATATCAAATAGGATTATCCTTAACCATTCCTTTACCCTGATATTTTTAATATATCATTCTTCAATATCTATTATCTATTAACCAATGTTGTTTTTATTAGTTTTAACGTTCGGTTTATTTTTTTTAATTAAATGAAAAAAACACCATAATGATATAATTATTATCTAAAACTATTGTGTAACTATGAGAAGCATTATGAACAAAACATATGATGACAATAATGTTACATATTTCAAGGTTCGTATTCATATTCATGATAATCATATATATTCATAATAATAATATTCATACGCATAATCATGATAATAATATAATAATGATAATATTCATAATAATAATATTCATAATAAATAATATCATCATAATTCATATTCATATTCATAATAAGGCCATAATAATAATGATAATAATGATAATGATAATGACAATAACAATAATGAAGATAATGATCATGATAATAATGATAATGATAGTAACAATGATAGTTATAATAATAAAAACATTGATTGTGATAATAATGATAACGATGATTAAAATAATGATTATAGTTATAATGATTCTAATGATGATAATCTTATTCTTATTATTATAATCATTGTTATTATTATAACCATTGTTATTATCATCATCATTATCATTTTCATTATTTTCATTATTATTTCCATCAATTTTGTTATTATTATCGTTATTATTATCATATTCAGTTATTATAATCGTTATCATTTCTATTACCATCATTATTATTATTGTTATTATTATCATTATGTTCTTCCTTATCATTATTATAATTATCATTACTATTTTTATCATTGATATTACTTTCATTACTATTTTTTATCATTGTAATTACAAGATGGCTTAATCTAATAATAGGAGACGAAATGTTGTTGTTATAAATAGATAAATAAATAAAATAAATAAAAAGTATATCTCATCAAAACTCTTTTTTCTACATTTTTTTCCTCACGAAAAACAGATTTTTTTCATCATTGTTGTTTTTACACATATCACTAAACCTATTGTGGTCACGTATATATATATATATATATATATATATATATATATATATATATATATATATATATATATATATATATATATATATATGTATATATATATATATATATATATATATATATATATATATATATATATATATATATATATATATATACATATTATTTATGTGTGTGAATATATATATATATATATATATATATATATATTATATATATATATATATATATATATATATATATATATATATTATTTATGTGTGATATATATATATATATATATATATATATATATATATATATATATATATATATATATATATATATATATATATATATGGGTGCTTCACGCGTACGGTGATGTGAAGTGATGGTGTTTTAGTCTAGTTTGTGTTAAGTGCTTGCATGTCTTCTCGCTTGCAGCTGCCACCGCTGGCTAGCCTAGTGCGAAAAAGGGAGCAGCTCTGCATAAGCCTCCCCTTCCAGAGTACAGCCTGTCCATCATCGAGACTCCTGCAGCGCCTCCTCGTGGCCTCCCATGGAAACTGGGTACCTTGTAGTCCCAGGCTTGACTGTGGGGGATCTTGGAACAGTAGGAGGCCCTAGAGGTTCAGGGTTATGGCCCACCGACGTGTGGACACGCCCTCGCTCTGTACCAACTCCTGCCCCTAGTCCCCCTGCAGTTAATGGAAGGCTTGGGGAGGTGGGCCTTGCCAGTCCTCCTTCCCCCAGAAAAAAAAAAAAAAAAAAAAAAAAAAAAAAAAAAAAAAAAAAAAAGCGGCTAAACATACAACTGGTTGGGCTGCAGCGACGGTCACTATCTCCAGCAGACTCCAAACCTCGGTAGCAGAGGTTACACCAGCCGATGAACATATAATGGTAATGAGGCAAATTAGCATTTGGCTTTATGTCTCATTGCTGTGTATGCTCCTACCGATGTTTGTAAACCTGACGTGAAAGAGATGTTCTATGACAAACTAGCAGACAAGTGTCCCCAGCAAGATATTCATGTTGTTCTGGATGACTTCAATGCGGTATCTGGCTATGATCGAGCTGGTTATGAGATGTCTGTCGGTCCCCATGATTTGGGAGCTGATACCGGCAGCGAGAATAGCCTCTTTTTCAGGGACTTTGCTCACTCCCAGAAATTGAGTATTTCTGGCTCCTGGTACCAGCGCCCAGACCCACATCGCTGGATGTGGTACAGCAATGCGGGTAATGCAGCCAAGGAGATCGACCACATACTCATTAGGACTCGCTGGAGGATCCTCCAGAATTGCAGGGTGTATAGGAGTGCTGAGTTCTATGGTACTGACCATAGATTGGTTGTGGCTACCCTCTGGGTCCATTCAAAACTCCCCAGCGGTTCAATGATCATCCCAGGATGTTTCCCTTGTACAGGCTGAGGGACCCTGTACTTCTGTGGGACATCTTCAAGTGTGAAAAGCTTGATGCAGCTCAAGAAACGATTGGTGAACGCCCAAGACCAAAACATAATTTCATCTCACAGGAGACACTAGATGCCAAAGATGGGATCGGGATTTGCACCGTTCTCCGGTGTGCAGATCACTTAGTAAGTGGCCAGTTCGTCTCAGCTCCTGTTGTGGTGCGGGAGCGCTGGGCTGTGTATTTTGAGCAATTGAATCAGGTTGACCCACTAACTCTGGGAGATCTTCAGACTGAGAGGAATTCCAACAAATATTGGACTAATAGCAAATCTGTATACTGGTACTGAAAGTGCTGTAGTATGGTGGGGGCCTGTTGAGCTTCTTTCCTGTTAGTTTAGGAGTAAGGCAAAGCTGTGTCCTTGCACCAACACTTCCACACTTGCATGGACTGGATACTAGGCAGAGCTACTATCCAAAGTCATTGTGGAGTAGCACTGGGCAATATCAAGGTCACAGACCTTGATTTTGCTGATGTTATTCTATCTGGGTCCTTGGAATCTTTGGTGGTGGCTTTTGAGGCATTTAGTAATGACGCGAAGCCCTTGGGTCTAGATTTCTCCTGGACCAAGATCCAGGACCTTGTTCAGTCAGTATGTGTTTGCAGCAAGGACATTAAAGTCACAGAAAGCTTTACATACCTTGGGCTGTCAGACCAGGAAGTCAGCCAAATACTCCTGACAAGAGTATTTGGATATGCCGGTATTTGTGCAGAAGGACCAAGCTACATGTCTTCAAGGCCCTGATAATGCCAGTTTTGCTCTATGGTAGTGAGGCCTGGACATTATCCTGCGCCTTGGAATCACGTCTTGATGCATTTTGTAATAGGTCTTTGCGCTGGACCATGGGCTACTGTTGACGGAACCATGTGTCAAACCAACGGTTGCACCATGATACTGGCACAGGACCTATTTCCTACACAATCCGTGATCGCCAACTCAGGCTATGCAGCCACATGGCTCACTTCCCTCAGGATGATCCTGCCCAACAGGTTGTCTCTCTGGAGGAGGCCTGTGGGACGAACCAGGAAGTTGTGGCTTGGGCAGATCGATCAAACCTGTCGTGAGGAGCTTGAGATGGGCCAAGTCCCTGCCTGGCGGCTTACCATGAGGGACCCTCGTAGGTATAAGCAAAGGGTGGATGCGGCTATGCGCCCCCGTTGGCGTTAGCTCCACGATGATGATGATGATGATATATTAATATATATATATATATATATATATATATATATATATATATATATAATATGTATGTATGTATGTATATATATATATATATATATATATATATATATATATATACATATGTATATATATATACTTTTTTTTTTCTAGCAGCACCCATTAATGTTCCCTTGTTTCTACGAATGTGTCTATGTTCTATTTCATTTGGATATTTGTATATATAAATATAGATAGATAGATATCCAAATGAAATAGAACATAGACACATTCGTAGAAACAAGAGAAGATTAATGGCTGCTGCTTTTAAAAAGATTATTTTATTATCATTGACAGAACGTGAAGATCTTTTTACAAAGATGTTAGTCAAAGGATTTAGGCTTCTACTTAGGCCTAACAGGTAGGGTCAATGACCTGCATTTGCATTGTGTTTGCTTGTGAGTGTGTGTAAGTGTGTGCGTTTGCGTGTGCGTGGTTGGGTAGGAGTGTGTGCGTGAGTATGTATGAGAGCTTACGTGTATGTGTGTGTGTGTGTGGGGGGGGGGAGTCTGCGTTCTTGCGCGCGCGTGTGTGTGTGGCGTGTGTGTTTGCCTGCGTGTGTGTCTATACGCACATATGGGTGTGCGCATGGCTGTGCGTTTACATGCATGGGTATATACATGTTTGTATATATAAAAAGATACTCGTGTACTTACATACATCCCTATATATGAATAAAGATATAATGCTATATACAAACTTTACTTTTCCCTTGCTTTTTGTTCATCATATCTGGAATTTTGGCATAGTTTCAATAATACCAGACTATGCAGTTATATCAAAAGTAATTAAACCGCTCTTACATATTTCAGCCGCGTGATCTGTTCACCCATCATGGCTAAGCTTTCCACAAAACCGAACCCTGAAAATGAGTAAGTATTCTCATTTGCATATGTATACATGTGTAGCTCACTCGCTTTCTCTCTCTCTCTTTCTCTCATTCTCTTGTTCTTTCTCTTTGATTTTCCTTTTTCATTTTAATTTTCTTTTCTTTTCTTTATTATGTTTATTCTTTCTTCCTTTTTTTTTTTTCCTTCTCTTTCACTTTTTTTTTTATCTTCTATCTTTTCTTTTTCCTTTTTTTTTTTTTTTTGCCTCTCTCCCTTTCCCTCTCTTTTTATCTCTCTACTCTCCCTTCACCCTCTCCCTCTCTCTCTCTCTCTCTCCCTCCCTCTCTCTCCCTCTCACTCTGATTCTCCCTTTCCTTCTCCTCCCCTCCTCTCCCTCTCTCTCTCTCTCTCTCTCTCTCTCTCTCTCTCTCTCTCTCTCTCTCTCTCTCTCTCTCTTCTCTCTCTCTCTCCTCTCTCTCCTCTCTCTCTCTCTGTCACCCAAAACATCCCCGACAGCAATGAATATCGCAAACCCTGCAACATAAAGCGTAATATCGTTCCAGCAGGAAAGCTAAACAAATCCTCCTTTTTATTTCCAAGCACAGTAATAAACTCAACGAAAAACGCCCATTTTTCTCCAGGTCTTCAGAGGGGCGTGAGTTCAAGTGGCTGTGGCCGGCCTATAGAGAGGTGGAGATGTTCAAGGCGGGACACGACATCGGATGCAAGCACACAGGCGGGCGCTACAGGTACAACACCGTCAAACCCCTGGACCCTGGACACGTCGAACAGGCCCTGAGGCACTATCAGAGGTAAGGGGAGAGGCAAGGTATCTTTACACAGGTATAGTCACTCGATCTTGAGGAAGGTCTTAGTTGGCAACTTCCGAGCTAAGCCTTGTATCCTAACCTTCACTTGTTGCAAATATTGTATATTTTTATCTATTCATAATTATAATTTTTAGTTTCTTTATTGAAGAATTACTTTGTTAGTACTGAAACAATTCTAAAGAAAATGTACTGAAAAATAATAACCATAAACAATCACAAAAATTGCTGGGATCAAGAAAGGGGACAGAGCTAATGATGTCACCAGAGTTAGCCTGTAAAAGTGTGCTGTGAGATATTAGATGTAGCTAGATACATAATTATTTGTGCAATTTACTCACTATTGTTATGATTATCAGAAGCAAAAACAAAATTTCCCTCTTTTGATGATGGAGTTCCACACCATTAACATAATATTCAAGGCAAAAAGTCAATTTAATTTTTGGGTTTAATGGGAGTGGAGCTACCTGTTTAAATGTTCCTTGGGGTAAGCAGGGCAGGAGGGCCAGTGGAGGCAAACTCTTTGAGAAAGATGTAAACAATCCCCATTGCACAATTAGAGGCAATGCTCATAGCATATGTATGAACACGAATAAGAACACAACTTATAAAATGTTACCCCATTGGTTGTCCCCAGGAAGATCCAAAACTGCCGATGCTTCTTCAAGGAACGTGAAGGCAAGATGTGGGTCTGTGAGAACCCAAATCCAGACATTGACTTCGAGGTCAGTTCATTCAGATTTTTTTTCTTTTTTATGAGAAAGCGAAAGAGAGTGAGAGTTTGATAGGAAAGTAATAGAAAGAGAGAGAAGGAAGAGAGATATGTGAATACTGACCTGCTATTCTATACACTGCAGTACCTTGAGGGAGCCGAGAGCAATGACGTCATCAAACAGCTCACAGGTGAACCTTTCCTCGCTGACTGGACGCCCACCTGGAAGGCAAGACTCATCCCCGTACCCGCCGATGCCCCCTGCCACATTCCCGAAATAAAGGCAGCTTTCCCCTACCAGTATGATCTCGTCATGATGCCCCACCATGCATTAATCGATGGGTTCACTATGTCTTTTATCACTGGCAAACTTGTAGGACTGCTAAACGACGTTATAGCCGGACGACCCATCGACGACGAGCCCTTTGGGGTCTATCTGAACAACGAGGAAATTGTCAAGATGGATGAAGAGATCGCGAAGGACCTCGAGAAGGAACCCGAGAAAATTGAAGCGATAAAGCAAGAGCTCCTGGCATGCGACACCCCGCCCATCCTCTGCAAAGCCTTCCCGCCCCCTGGAGGGAAGCCTTCAACTGACTTTGTCTACCGGAACATCAACCAGAAATCCCTGGCTTCCTTCACGGCGAAGTGCAAAGCCAATGGCGTCACCTTCAACAGCGGACTGGAGGCTGTGATCAATACCGCTATTATTGAGATGGTGCGGGAGGCGGGTGTGGAGTCTCACCACATGAGCATCAACCTGGCCACGGATCTGAGACGCTACATGAAGCGCCGCCCCCTCCCGATCCTCGGCTTGCACGTGCGCCCAACTGTGCACAGGATAGAGACGCCCTCCAACGTCCGGGACAACTTTTGGGACTACACGAAGAAGCTCCACCAAAGGCTCTCGGTTTTCCTGAAATCTGGCGAAGCCATTCATCAGAACGTGGTGAGGGAGATGACCCTACCGCAGCTCCCTCCAGTGGAACACCACGCAGCAGGACCCAAAGCCTTGCGTGACTACGGCGTCACTAACGTCGGAGACCTCACGGTCCTCATCCCAGGCGTCGGGGAGCACCTCCAGCAGACGGACCTCGCCATGTTTAGCTGCACACACTACTCTGGGTTCCCGATGCTTCACCAGATCTACACCTTCCGAGGACACTCGCCCTACACACTCAGCTACGACACCTCTTACTTGGCTGAAGACACTGCTGTCCAACTCATGGACAGGATTCTCGCACTTATGGACGAGCTTGGGACATCGCCAAACTGATGGAAAATAGGTTTGGGAAGGGTAAAAGGCCACTGCAGTGAAGCATACGAGGTTAAATTGTATTACTTCAGTTCAATTTTTTCAGACTGTTCATTGGTAATATTAAGTATTGTCTCTATTTAACGTTCTGTGAAATTACACGAACTTATCTTTTTTTGACTTCGGTATTATAAAATATCGATAGAGTTTTTGACTGATCTTCTTTAGCTTCCTAGCACGGTTTTACGAAATAATATATCACTATGTGCATGACCTCGGTATTACATAATATCGGCATTTTGTTGACTATATATTTTGCTGACTTTCTGAATACGTTGCAGATGAATGTCTTGAAAGAAAAAATGAAATAAAAAATACTTATTAAATGACAATGGGTCAATGCATAGATCCTGAATTTAGTAGATTTTAGATACATCCTCCTTTACGAAAAGTGGCATTCTTTCTGTAAGGGTTTTACACGCCAGTCTGAGTCACAGAATTTCGAAAGAATCGAAATTCTGTGACTCTTAGACTGGCGTGTGACTCTCTTCGAAAGGAAATGATAAATTTTTATATGTCACGTTTTATTTATTATATGGTTAACTTCTGAATGATAAATACAAAGTTGAATATTAATACCAATCTGTAATCATTGCCCTTTCATCCTACCCCTCTATTAATGCACTGGAAAAGTCTGTAAGCGAAAATAAAACTTCCGCAGAGAGAGGGACGGAGAGACAGACAGAGAGAGAGAGAGAATTTTTGAAAATTCCTAAGAAATAGAGAGTGGAGAAACTGAAAAGGGGAAACAAAATAAAGGGGAAGGAGATTAAAGGAACGAAAATTGTAACAACACTTAGCAAACATATCTAAACAAGTGCCTGTCTCGGAGAGAAGCACTTACTTCCCGCTACAAAATGTACCACACTTACTGCTCTGTCCACTTAATTTCAATATATTTTTCTATATTTTACTTTATAGATAAAGAATAACTATTTTTTTTATCCGATCGCTTTCCCTCCCGCTCTGCCTATCTCTCTATCTCTCTCCCTCCCTCCTCCTCTCTCTCTCTCTCTCTCTCTGTCTAATGTCTCCCTCTCTCTATGTCTCCCTCCCCCTCTCTCTCTTCTATGTCTCCTCCCCCCTCTCTCTCCTCTCCCTCTCTCTCCCCCCCCCTCTCTCTCTCTCTTTCTCCTGCCCTCTTCTCTCTCTCCCTTCTTCCCTCCCTCCTTACTCTCTCTTACTCTCTCTTTCCCTCTCTCCCCATTCCCCTTTTCTCTCTCTACCTGTCCCAGCTTCGTTCTTTATCATCCCTTGAAGATTATATATTCTGTCATGCATAAGCTAGGTCATGATCGATGAAGCTTACGTAGTCTAACATGTTAAACCACGGATTCATTATATTTCGGTGAATCAGTTTTAGTAAAGAATTTCAAAAATGTTTGATTAAAAGAATTCCTCCACAGATTCATCATGCAGTGTAGCCCTTGCCTTGAGATCCGGTCCCATTTGCCCTTAAATGTTATTATCAATATCTTTAATCAAATCTTAACATTGACGGTCATATTTCCGTTCATGTCAAGACAAAAATCGCTTGTTCACTCATCTTCTCGCTGAAACAATGACTCAGTCACACACTCGTGCAAGCTAAAGATACTTTGCAACTTTCCCTGCACGAACCGCCGCGATTTGCACAAGATTATAAATGCGAGTTGATTTATTTCTTTTGCATGCAACTGTTTCCTTGCAATTAGAGTGGGGTTTGGTCGGGAGTGCAGGTATCAGGGAGAACCGATGATGCAATCGCGGTACATCCACTGTAATGGCATCTTTGTTTTTGCCAGTCGTAAGGGATTAGGATCTTGCACGATACTTTTTCATTCTTTCGCACCATTGCATTGTATTCTGTCTGTTCCGACATGGTTGATAGTTTAAGTAAATCCCTGATCTCCCTTACTGTTTTCCTCAAGTGATAACCACATCACCAAGCGTCCCTTGAAGATAACCTTTATTGAGGTCATAGGAGGTCAAGACAGGGCGAGTTCAACTTCTTCCTTATACAGACGTCACTCCTCGGCTGCAATTTAAACCAGGTTGCGCACAGGGGCTGTAATTCTACGGGAATTCTGTTCTACAGAAGACAATTTATTATTGTCCTCATAAAAAAGTATATCTTCTGCTCTACTGAAAACAAATGACAATAATAAACGAAAGAGAAGGCTGTGGATTTCTTTTTTCTAGTAACAATATATATGAGCTTAAGAGAAGTTTCATACAGAATAAAAACGAAAAATGTATTAAACTAATTATCATTCAACATTTCTCTCGTTGTCAGAAAGAGGCACAATGACGACTGCATTTCCATATCATAAACGAAAGTAGTATTTCTCGCGATTTGAGAATTTACCCTAGTTGACCCGTATCAAAGAAAACGCATCGACGCTAGCCAATCACAGCGACGACGGATGACAGCCAATGAGAAACCACGAATATGAGTACCAACCTCGCATTCACATCGAGGATCTCAGAAGCAAAATAAAAGACTAAGAATATGGACAGAGGAGAGGTGAGGCAAGGAGTTTGATGCATATGGGTTTTTGGACAACTGAGAGTAAAAAAGCTGTAAGACGAACGTATAGTTGATGAGGTAAGCGTTTACCATTAAACCGGGCTTTTCTAACTCTCCTCCTCCTTGCTTCCTCTTCTCTTCCTTCTTCTTTTCTTTTCTCCTTCTCTTATCTATTGCATCTTCCTTCTCCTCTTCAACTTCCTCCTTCTTCCCCTCTTCTTCCCTCTCCTCCACCTCCACGCCCACCTCCTTCACCATCACCTCCACCTCCTCCTCTTTCTTCTCCACTTCCTTCTCTTTCTCCTCCACCTCCTTTTTCTTATCCACCTCTACCTCGTCCTCCTTTATGTCTATCTTCACCTCCTCCTCCCTCCACCTTTACCTCCTCCTTAATTTCTACCTTCACCTCCACCTCCTCTTCCTCCTCCTTCTCCCCTACCCCTACGTCCACCTTCACCTCCACTTCTTCCTCCTCCTCCTGCTCCTCCTCCTTTTCGTATAATCCTCTACAATGATCCGATGGATGGCCAGAAAAAAACTCAACGTGGTTTAAACACACTTTAATTTAAGCTAAATTGAAGCGAAAGAACGAGGCTGGTACGCATTTCCGTAGTTTTTCATAGTTTACCCTTCATCGGCTAAAGTCAAAAAACGTTTTCTTTGTTTACTTAAATCAGAGGTAGACTAGGATAAATTCTTGAATCATTTGAAACGGTACTATTGTCTAATATATCAAAATCTATTTGTAATTTACATATCATCATAGCCCTTTTGGGTTATTTTATATATTACGTCTGCATAAGCGATATCGACGATTTTGGTATCGTTGGATTCCTCTCACTCTATACAATGCAAATGTGTAGGTTTTATTACGCGGAAACCCCGTTAGCGACAAACTTGGCCCCAATAGCGGGGGCGACGATGTCGGAGCGGCGGACGTAATATATAAAATTACCCTAATAATATAACCTCACAGTGTAATATTCACCAACAATCACCACGTATTCACGGCAGGATAGAGTGCACACAAACTAGATGCGGTGCCGATAACCTACAATAACCTAGGATTTTTAAGGTACTAACCTGATTGATTAATGCCGCTAATTAGTAGGGAGGGTGCTCCTTTGCCGCAGAATGTGAAGGAGGCAGGGTGCGTCCGGCAGGAGGTCCTAGGCCGGAGGATACAGCTTTCTCCCGACGGAGGAGGCCGTGGCGGAAGCACATCTCTAGCATTTTTTCCTGGCTAGTTGCAATTTCGCGCAGAAAATCCGTCTCCGAATACGAGCACCCTCCACACTCGGCCATCGCGGCGGCTATGACTGACTTCTGAACGCGACGGTTATTTCGGTTAGGAATACGAATGTCGTTGTTCCAGAGCACGGGAAACTCGACCTTGAGGCCATCGGTGTAACATCGAAAGAGGCGCAAAACCCGCCGACGAGGGCGGGCCACCCTGTTCATCCTGATTTTACTACAATCGTCTCTATATACAATGCTGACTATGCCAAGGTTAATATGCTGATTCAGTGAGAATCTTACGAGGTAATTGTAATATTACGGCCGCCGCTCCGACATCGACGACGATTGTGTAACGCTCTAGCCTGCCGGGAATACGTGGTGGAGGTTTTGTTTCCTCGGCAGAGGTTGGGGGCGGCAGCCCCCCCAGGGGGGGAAAGTCATGTGAATAACCATGGTTTTTTTCGCTGTGCGTTGTATTAATAGTGCTATTTAACCCCGCATTTTCCCTGGAACCTTCCATGCCCTCCCCTGCTATCGGGGCCAAGTTTGTCGCTAACGGGGGGTTTCCGCGCAATAAAAACTATATATTTGCAATGTGGAGAGTGAGAGGAATCCAACGATACCAAAATCGTCGATATCGGTTATGCGGACGTAATATAGAAAATTACCCCCTTTTGTATTGTCAAAGTAAGAAAAAAAAACGTATTTCGAATAAATACATATTTTTTTCTTTAAATGTATTTCGACCTAAGGCGTTACCTGGTTGTAGCTGAGGGAAGATTTTTGCAAAGGATAGAGGTTGGACTTCCTCTGATTTGACCTCTTCCTTCTCATTTTCCTCAACTTTTTTCTCTTCCTTCTCCTCCTCTTCCCCCTTCTTCCTGTCTTCCACCTCCTCCTCATTCTTTTCATCCTTTTTTCCTTCTCCTTTTCCTCTTTCTCTTTCTCCTTTTTCTTCTTCTCCTCCTCCTCTTCCAACTCTACCTTCACCTCTATTTCCTCGTAATCGTTCTCCTCTTCCACTTCTACCTCCTCCTCTTTTTCTCCTTCTTCTTTCTCCTCATCCACCTCCTCTTCCTTCACCTCCATCTTGACTTCCTCCTCGTCTTTCTCTTCTTATTCCTCCTCCTCCTCTTCTTCCTCCTCCTCCTCCTCCACCTCCACCTCCACCTCCACCTCCACCTCCACCTCCACCTCCACCTCCACCTCCCACCTCCAACCCCCACCTCCACCTCCACCTCCACCTCCACCTCCACCTCTCAGCACCTCCACCTCCTCACGAACGCCATCGTGTCTTCGACCAAGCATTTCTGGTCACGACCCTTCTTTCCAGAATCAGCCGTTGATCCCAAGTCAAGGCTGGGAGTGCTAAAGGACGCAACGTACATCGTCCAGTCTCTTCCAAGAAAATCTATCTATCATCTCCTATCTCCTTTCTCTCTCTGATCTCTCTTAATCAGAGATCTCTCTCTCTAGCTGCATCTCTCTCTTCTCTTCTATCTGCGTCTGTCGACCTCATCTCTCTGT